TGGACGGATGGTCTGTTCAGTCCCTCATTCATCTCCCTGTTGTCCCTTCTGTCCTGGACAAAACTGGGAGGGACCCAGAGCTGGGGAGCCCAGGGTGGACTCTGGGCCATGGCTAGGGCTCTGAGACTGGGGAACAGGCATCTGTTGGTCACCCCTCCATCCCCCACCCTAGGAAGAGATACCGGAACCTTGGACTGTACTGGCTGGGATCTTTCATCATGAGCATACTGGTGTTCCTCCCAGGAAACATCCTTGGTAAGGACTGGACTTTGAAGGATCCCGTCTCCTCAGGCTGGGTTACTGTCCTGTGCCTAGAAGGTTCATAGGTAGGTCTTGGGAGGTAGAGGGGAGAGGCAGCCCAGTATGTGGGGGTGGCTGAGCAAGAGGGACACCCAAGATGTATCCAGGAGAAGCAAAGAACAACTGAAATATAGAAGCCATATCCAGAAAATAAATCGAGGCAGGCCAGGCTGAGGAGTCTGGACACCATCTTATGAGCACTGGGGAGCCAGAGGTGCTAGAGCTTGAATAAAGACTGCATTTATGAATGATTACTTCCAGCCAGGGATTCTGGTGTGACTCACCTATGGGTCTGGCCAGGCCTGGGTGATCCTTGATGAGTGACACCCCCCTCTTTCCTACCATGACAGGTAAATACAGCTCAGAGATCAGACCTGCCTTCTTCCTTGCCATCCCCTATGTGCTAGTCCTATGCTGGGCTGGCACGAGGGTCTTCAGCCAGTCCCAGGCACCAACCTGCTGTACCCCCGATGTGGTAAGCGCCTTGCTGCCAGACAGTTCCTTGTGCCAACATGCCTGAATGCCCCTCCCCCCCAATTAGAGTTGCTTCTGATCAAAAACATTGCCTCTTTGGAAGGATCTCGTTGGCCTTTAGGAAAGAAGAGATGAGCCTTTATCGAGTGCCTGTTGGATACCCGATTTCTCACACTGTCTCTCTCCCACGGGGCAGGTACAGGAGGAACAAAGAAAGGGCATCCTGCGACGCCCGGTGGACCTGGCCCTTGTCATATACCTCACCCTCGCTGCGTTCTTCACCCTCTTCCGGGGCCTGGTGAGTCTGCAGTGGCCAGCCTACCTTTCTTCTACCTCCAACCCCCTTTCCTGTCCCCACCAACCATGTTCCTTTCACCAGTGCAAAAAGGCCACTGCTCTCCTGTCTGGTCATCCAGGGAAGTTCTTCATCAAGTCTGATCTGAGTGTTCCATGACAAAGCCCCATTCTCTGTAATCTTCCCACCAAAGTGAAAGAACCAAGCCTCAGGGAGGCCAGAGCAAGGGGTATGGGAGGGTGGAGAAGGCTTCTTGTGGGAAAAATGTTTGAGGTGGGTTGTTGGTTTGTCTGTCTGCCCCAGGTGGTGCTTGACTGCCCCACAGATGCCTGCTTTGTCTACATCTATCAGTACGAGCCATACCTACAGGACCCCGTGGCCTATCCGAAGGTGCAGGTGAGAGGGCAGATGGGAAGGGAGGGCCATATGGTCCTGCCATCGGTAGAGGTCTAGTAAGTCCTCTTTGAAGCAGGTACCAGAAACACAAGTCAATCTGTTGTCCTACCAAAAATGTCTGTCTTCCAAAATGAAGACAGATATGGTCTTCAAGTATGGCTGGATCTAGGAGCTAAGGATAACTCTGTCTCTGGGCTCTGCTTTCTTTGCATGGACTCCACTCCCAGGTAGTCACTTTGTGGGATTGTGGTGACAGCCCTGGGCAGCAACAGGCCTCCATCTGCCCTACTTAGCCACCCCAGAGGAATGTGAGCGATTATTTCTCCAGAGCTTAAGCACAAATCTCAGGCAGACTCTGATTGGCCCGCGTGCCATCATCACTGAATAACATGCACATCCTGTCACTGATCATTTTGGCCAGGGGGCTGGAGTGTTCCAGTTCCCAGGCCAGGGTCACATGCCCCTTCTGGAGTAATGTGGGTGGGCTCAGTGTGTGTGTGCATGTGGTGGCAGCGGTTGGGGGAGGGGCAGATATTGTGAGGAGCAATGTGCACAGGGTTGGGACGTGCAGAGAGCCCCCCTCCTGAGTGGGTTCTGAGGCTGGCCAGATCCTCCCTGGGGCCTCCACCTCAGGGGGCTCAGGGAAGCCGCTGCTGCTCATCCTGTGGTTTGTATGCCCCTCAGATGCTAGTATACATGTTCTACGTGCTGCCCTTCTTTGGCCTGGCTGCCTATGCCCTCATCTTCCCTGGCTGCTCTTGGCTGCCTGACTGGGCCTTGGTGTTTGCTGGAGCTGTTGGCCAGGTATGGTAGGGTGTGGGGGAGGTGCGGTGGGGTCTGTAGGGAAGAAAGTTTCTGCCTACCCATCAATTGCTTTTGTGCTTTCCCTGAGCAGGGGGATGCTGAGCCTCTGAGAGGCCCCAGCCCCAGCTTGATACCTTAGGATTCCCTAGTCTCGGGGAGAAAGTACCTGACACTAACACTCCCAACCCCATGGTGGCGGCGGTGGGGGGGTCAGAACTGGAGAGAGGTAAAGATAAGGGCTGAGAGCAATTCCAGAAGGGGAAGATTTCCCAGGAGAGTGAGCCTAGGAGCTGGGCTTTGATGTATGGGTATGAGTTCTCTAGGCAAGGAAGAGCATTTCAGGAATTGGAACAGCATAAAGACGCCAAGGGGGATAATGGTTTAGCAGAGCCACAATATGGATAGAGGCAGAGGCAAGAGAATTTGACAGCTAGATGCTGAGGGCTTTGAACTCTGAGCTTGGAAGAGCCATGGAATGTGTCTGAGCTGTAGAGGGCCCAGTCAGAGCTAGGGGGCCTGTTTCAGGGTTCCTCATGGAAAGTGATAAAGCCTGGGCCTAGGCCTGAGCAGTGGAGACCAAGAAGACATCCCCAGGGTAGAATCAACAGGATTTGTGTCAAGTGTGCTGCTTGGGGTAGGGAAGAGCAAGAGGAGGAACTGGACCCAGATCAAGGAGATGGGAAACAGGGAGGGCCCAGCAGAGAGTGAAGATGGTTCTGGTTAGACAGCTGGGGAGAGGCTCACAGACAGATGGACAAGGACACAGGAAATGTGGGGACAGGGATATTTAGAGGCAGACAGATGGGCTAGAGAAGGGGGACAGGCCAGCAGCCAGTGAGGGGGACAGAGACCCTCTGGGCTCCCTAGGGTGGGATGCTGGTGATGCTGGGACTTGTTCTTTCCTGGCCCCTGACATACATCCTCCCTGTATGGCCACTAGGCACAGTTCTCGCACATGGGTGCCTCCATGCACGTGCGCACGCCCTTCACCTACCGTGTGCCTGATGACGCCTGGGCCTGCTTCTTCGGGTGCAACCTGCTGTATGCGCTGGGTCCCCACCTGCTGGCCTTCCGCTGCCTGTGGTGGCCCGCTTTCTTCCTGCGCCCCCCCCCTGGTCACCTGGACCGCCACAAGAAGGATCAGTGAGAGTGCTGGGGACTCCCCAGGACTCTGTTTCCATGCCCAGACAGCCCTGCTCTGGGAAGGGTGGGCTGGGTCTTTTAGAGGCAGGAAGTACATCTCCAGGTGTCTTTGGTCCTGGCTATGGTGGTATCAGGCCAACGCATGGGATGGGACAACTAGGGGCCAGATGTTCCCTTTAGAGCCAGACACGCTCAGCTGTCACGGTACCCCAATCCCACGCGGACTGTTCTACTCCAGAATTTACCCATCATACCCCCATGGATCCTTTTAGTAAAAAAAAAAAAAAACAAACAAACTTTTGATGTCCAAATATTGCTGCTGCCTGAGTGTTTCGGGATTCAGAGGTGAGGGACCTGCTTCTCAGACCCCATGAGGGCCTACCCATCACTGCCAGCACGAACATCAGGAACTGGAGGTACTGGCCAGCAGAAGTCTGCCTCTGGTTGGTGTGGACAGCTCCATCTTCCAGATGGGGAAACTGAGGCTCAGAGAGGTCCAAAGACCTGCCTGAGGTCGCAATCAGGAGAGAAACATCCAAAATCCAAGCTCTGACAATAAATTATAATAACTAATTTCGTGGCACAGTTATTAAGCTCCTACAATATACCATTATCAAGGGCCAAACTCAAGTGCTACATGCTGGATCTCACTCTATAGTCCAGATGGGGAAACTGAACCTGTAGGCGGTAAAGGTCCTGGTCAGAGGTCATAGCTCCTAGATGCAGCTGAGCTAAAGGACCCAGTGCCAGCCTAGCCCATCCAACCATGGACCCTATAACCCTGCCTCTGCTGTATGGTTGGCTCATATTTTGGGAAAACTGAGGCTGGAGAGGCAGCCAAGGGGTTGAGGGAAAGGCATATTTTTCCTGATTCGATTTTTGAACTTGGGCAAAGGGCCAGGTTTGGGGGTGACTCAGGCCTACAGTGGGTCAGGGGCTTGATCAGGCTCCCCTGCTACCTGCTCCTACCAGCATTTATTAGGCACCTATTGTGTGTCTAATCATTGGATCTTCACCAAAGAACCAGCACTCCATTTTCTGGAGGTGGAAACAGGCTGAGACCAAGCCTCTCTTCCAAGGTCCTACAGCTGGTGAGAGAGTCAGATTTGGACCTGTTGCTGCATATTCCCTCTGTAGAGTGTGTGACTGTTGTGGGGCCCCACCCGCAGAGTGAGCACCTTTTGGGTGCCAGAGCCCAGGACGAGACGATGGCCACCAAGTGACAAATGGGAAAACAGACCTGCAGGCCTAAGCCCCTTTACCCAGGTTACTCAGCCCCTGGCTCACCTTGGGCACCTAGATGGAAGACTCCGTCAGGACCCCCTCCCCTCCATTTTAAAGAGTTCAACTGCGGCCCAGAGGTTCCTCTTCCCGCCCAAGATCAGCCAGCAGGATCAGCGACGTGGTCCTGCATTCCCCGTCTAGCGCAGTCCTTCCTCCGCCCGTGCCCGGGTTTCTCCGCGGAGCGCGCGTCGCCGCGTTCCCTTTAAAGCTCCTCCCCGCACCCCCCTCCGCCTCCCTCCTCCCCTTGCAGGCAGACGCCGGGATTGCGCCGCCCGAAGGGACTTGCCCAGTCCTTCCTGGGTGTGCGGGGAGCGCAGTCCCGGCGCGTAGGGGCCGCTCGGCGGGGGCCGCACGGGCAAGATGGTGAGTGGGTCGCGGGCGCGGGTCCCGATAGGTCCCTCTCTGGGATTCTGTCTCGCTCTGTGTCTGAATCTACGTCCCTCCGTGTTCCTCTTCTCAGTCTCTCCCCGCTCCGTCTCTCCAATCCCCTCCGTCTCTCACCCTCTTGTTATCTCTGTTTCTCGAACTCTGCTTCTCCTTTTATATCCCTCTCCGCCTCTCCCCACTTTTCTCTCCCTCTTTTTGTCGTCCTGGTCCCTTTTCTTTTCCTCTGAGTCTCCGTCTCTCCCTACCTCCAAGCCCCCTCTTGCTCTCTTTGCTCTCTCCCTTTCAGTCTCTGTCTCTCTCCATCTTTCCTTACCCTTCTGTCTCTCCCTCTCTATCTATCCCCATCTCTCCTTGCTTTTTTCTCTGTCTCTGTCTCTTTCCCTTTCCTCGCTCTCTCCCCGTGTCTCTACCTCTCTCCGGCTCTACCCCTCGCGTCCCCCGCGCCCCCGTCCCCCCGCCGCCCCCACACCCCGGCCGGTTTGCTGCAGTCTCCTGGCGCACGGATAACCTTGCCGCTGCCGCTGCTCCAGCTCCTCCCCCCTCCCTCCCAATCCCCGCCAGGGCCGGCCAGAGAAGGGGGCGGAGCTCCGAGCGGCCGGGGTCGGGGTTAGGGGATCTGGCGGGTTGCCCGCGCTGGACTGAGGGCAGGTGAGCCCGGGGGCGTGGGCTTTGCGTAGGAACTAGAGTGTGAAGTCCCGGGAGAATGCGGGGGACAGGGGGTGAGGGCTGGAAAGGGTCTGCCAGCTTTCTCCTTGGGAGAGTCCTCTGGGACCCTGGCCGGGGTGGGGACCTGGGCATGCGAGAAGTCCGCGCCGTGGGGAACGAAGGTCAGGGGGCTAGTCCTCTGACAGGCAAAGCCCAGGAGGCTGGACAGAGTACCCTGTGCCCCCAGGTGTGTGCTCGGGCGGCCCTCGGTCCCGGCGCGCTCTGGGCCGCGGCCTGCGGAGTCCTGCTGCTCACGGCCCCCGCAGGGGCGCAGCGCGGACGCAAGAAGGTCGTGCACGTGCTCGGTGAGTCTGGAGAGCGGAAGCGGGTCTTGCCCCGCAGGAGCCGTGGCCGAATGTGATTGCCTGGCTGCAGGGAGGGTATAGGGGGTAGGGTATGGAGCGTTCCTGACGGTCATACTTCCCCCCCCACAACCCCTCCTCCTCTGAGTCCCAGTTCCCTTTCCTGATATCCTTTAACCTTCCGATCCCCTGACCTCGGCCCAAGCTTTCTTCCCACAACACTTCCCTGGGATCCCCTTCCCCGGGTTTCCCACCCCGCCCCCTGGGACCTCTTCTGAACCCTGCCTGGCCCTCCCGCAGAGGGTGAGTCGGGCTCGGTGGTGGTGCAAACGGCGCCGGGGCAGGTGGTCAGTCACAGGGGTGGCACCATCGTCTTGCCCTGCCGCTACCACTATGAGGCAGCCGCCCACGACCACGACGGCGTCCGTCTCAAGTGGACTAAGGTGGTGGACCCACTGGCCTTTGCCGACGTCTTCGTGGCGCTGGGCCCCCAGCACCGAGCATTTGGCAGCTACCGTGGGCGTGCGGAGCTGCAGGGAGATGGACCTGGGGATGCCTCCCTGGTTCTCCGAAACGTTACGCTGCAGGATTATGGGCGCTATGAATGCGAGGTCACCAATGAGCTGGAGGATGACACTGGCATGGTCAAGCTGGACCTGGAAGGTAACAGCTTGTGGACGGAATAAAGCATGTGTCTAAGGGAGGAGAGTGGGAAATATTGCAAAGGACAGAAACCAAATCAAGTTGGCCTAAAGGAATTTGAGGCTTGGTAGGGTAGGGTAATGGTTCTGATTTGAGGCGAATTTGCTCCCCAAGAACATCGGCAATGTCTAGAAAGGGGTTGCTGATGGCATCTAGTGGGTAGAGGCCAGGGCGGCTGCAATACATCCTACAATGCACAGGACAGCCCCCCACAGCAAAGAAGGATCCAGTCTAAAATGTCAATAGTAAGGACTTTGGGAAACCCTGGAGGTGAGATCCAGGGAGATCCACTCACACCATGTCAGGAATTCCTCCCTCAGCTCTCTTTCCCCAAGTGGGCTTTCTACAGGCAGGTTTCCCCTGATGGAGCCAAAAAGTAGTGCCAGGCTTCCATCCTCCAACTTAGCAGTTAATTTCCTAGCAGTGCTAGCTAGAGTCCCAGAGTTGTCCCTCATTGGCCCAGGTTAAGTCATGTGCCCATCCATGAGCCAATCACTGTGACTGGGAGATGGGATGCTCTGATTGGCTGGCTGTGGAGCTGAGAGGCGGGGTTTCTACCTGAAGAATTCTCTCCCACCTGGTTTGCCTTCCTCAGTCCACCTGAGAAGATTCTAGGAGAGATTTCAGAATCTGTACCTCCCAACAATAGCAAATAACAATAATAGCAGCAGCTCTTCTTTATTGTCCAAATTAAACAAGTCTCTTGTTTAATTTTCCCAAAAACTTTGAGGGAGATGCTATTACCAGCAGATGGGCAACTAGCTCAGAGAGATTAGAACCTTGCTCAGGGTACATGCAAGTGAGTGGCAAAGCTAGGACTCAAACCTCGGTCTTCAGCCTCCAGGTGTTCTTTCTGGCCCCTGTTTGTTCCTCCCTGCGTCTCCTGAAAGATGCACCTGCACCTCCAGGGTCTGCCCCTCAAACACACACACAGAATGCTGCTGAGCTGAGCTGACTGTGGGTCCAATGAAGAGCAAGTTTTAAGAACTGAAGGTGGAAGAGAAACCAGTGGGAACTGCCCTGGACAATGCTGGGGATCAAAGAGGTCTTTGCCCAGGGTCATACTTTCAGGGGCTCCCTGTGGGGGAGTCAGCACTGGACACAGACATTCCCAGCTCCATCAGCTCAGGGCTTGACCAGAGGGAAGTTCCCAGTGCTGGGGGAATGTCAGAAGCACTAAAGATTGAAGGGAGAAGGGTTGTGGGGGTTTGGTTTTGAAGGATGAATAGGAGTTCAGCAGATGGAAGAAGTGGAAAGTACATAAGCAGAGGTCTCCAGTGGTGGAAAGGGGATGGATATGATTAAGTATCTTAAGAGGAAGAGTCAAGTGAATCCCAAGCTTACGGCAAAGGGATCACAAGGGGTGTGAGCTTGGGAACAGCGTGGTCAGGTCTAAGTCCAGAGTGAGGGATGGAGTGGAAAGTCTAGGTTGAAGAGTCACACAGCACCCCAGAATGTTAGGTGGGTAGGGGAGGGCTGGGATTCCCGAGCTGAACCCCCTACGTACGTCCTCCTAGGAGTTGTCTTCCCTTACCACCCCCGTGGAGGCCGCTACAAGTTGACCTTCACGGAGGCGCAGCGCGCCTGCGCCGAGCAGGATGGCATCCTGGCGTCCGCAGAGCAGCTGCACGCGGCCTGGCGCGACGGCCTGGACTGGTGCAACGCTGGCTGGCTGCGCGACGGCTCCGTGCAGTACCCGGTGAGCCAGCCCCGAGAGCCCTGCGGCGGCCTGGGCGGAGCTGGGAGCGCCGGGACGGGCGGCGGCACCGCCTCCGGGGGTGTGCGCAACTACGGCTACCGCCACAATGCCGAAGAACGCTACGACGCCTTCTGCTTCACATCCAACCTCCCGGGTGTGTAGGCCCCGCCCCTGGGAAGGAGACCCCGCCCCCCACAGGCTCGGGGTCCGCCCTGCCAGTGAGGCCCCGCCCCCAGAGAGCCCTCTCCCGGGTCCCCCTCCCTCTCAATCTCTTTCCCACCCTCTCAGTTTCCTCCTTTTAGCCCGTCTATCCACTCCGGCCCTTGGGAGTCCAGACCAGGATATCCCAGTCGCGGATTGCCATGGCGCAGCAACCAAGCGTCGCCTGGCATCAACACTGCCCAGGCCAAGGCTGGGGTCCAGGACTGCAGAGCGAGAGGGTGTTCCTGAATCCTCTGGCTGGGGTCCTGGGTTGCAGGCGCGTGGGGGTGGGAAGCGTCCTGAATCCCGAGGAGGACAGATCCCGGGAGCGGCCTTAACCACTCTCCCCCACTCCACTGCAGGACGTGTGTTCTTCCTGAAGCCGCTGCGGCCTGTGCCCTTCTCGGGAGCAGCGCGTGCATGCGCGGCGCGCGGCGCGGCCGTCGCCAAGGTGGGACAGCTGTTCGCTGCGTGGAAGCTGCAGCTGCTGGACCGCTGCACTGCGGGCTGGCTGGCCGACGGGAGCGCGCGCTACCCCATCGTGAATCCGCGCGCGCGCTGTGGCGGCCGCCGGCCGGGCGTTCGCAGCCTGGGATTTCCCGACGCCACGCGCCGCCTCTTTGGCGTCTACTGCTACCGTGCACCCGGCGCGCCGGACCCCGCACCTGGCGGTTGGGGCTGGGGCTGGGCCGGAGGCGGGGGCTGGGCCGGAGGGGCGCGCGACCCCGCTGCTTGGACCCCTCTGCGCGTCTAGGCCCTGGGCGCAGTTGGTTGGGGTGCTTGGCGGCTGGCCGAGTGCTCTGCGGTCTCTTGGAGACAGACCACGTGACTGGAGACTGGCCACGCCCCCTGCGGTGCCCTGCGGGCTGACCAGGCCTCCTGTGGCCTTTGAACACTGGCTGCGCCCCCTGGGGTCCTCATAGACTGGCCAGTTCCGGGAGACTGATCAAGCCCCCACCTCTCCTGGACAGTGGATTTCCCCTCCTCCCTCGACTTTCCCCAGGAGATGGGGCATGCCCCCTGAAGACCCCTGGAGGCCAACAGACCCTGAGGTCTTCTGAAGACTGGCCACTCCTCCCGAGGTTACTTGAAAACAGACAGGACCCCCACCCCCACCCCGCGGTCTCCTGGAGGCTGGACCCCCAGGATTATCTGGAGATTGGCTTAGGCCCTCTGCATTCCCTGGAGACTGGAGACTCATCCCTTATGGTCTTCTGGACACTGAACCCTCTTCCCCCTCACATGTAGAGAAACCTCGGAGCTCACCAGGTGATCACGCCCCCGTGCTCACATGGAGTCTGGGCTTCTGTCCTCTCCCCTGTGGTGACCTGGAAATTGGGTATTCCCATTCTTGCCCCTTCCCCTGCGAATCCCTTGAAGTTTGCAGAATAACAGGCCATGCTCCCAGGTCACCCTGAACAACCCCGCCCCTCCTTTCAGGGGAGACCAGCCTTTGTCTGTCACCACTTAAACAGAATGACATGCCCCTCCCCTCAGGTATCTCTTTGGAGGGAGAAAATCCACTCCCACCTGATGGACGGCCTCTTTCCTAGCTGTCACCAGAGACCATCCCTTGGGCCCAGGGATCCATAGGATCCATGTCACTCACTTGGAGACAAGCTGTCCCACTTCCCATTGTTACCAAGGCGACCAGCCCAACTTCTACCTGTAACCTAGTCGCACAGCCCTTCCCTCATCAGTCACACCCATGAAGATAGTGCCTCCCTCCTCCAGCTGTAACCATGGATACCACACGTTTCCCATCCCACCTCCGGGACACCAGAGAGCTACAACTCTACTTCTGGATGTCCCCATTCTTACCAACAGCCATGAAGACCACCTCCCCCCCCCCAAAACTGTCCGGAGAGTGACCCAACATTCAGTTCTCCAGCTCTCACCGTGGGAACAGTCTGCCCCTTTCCCCAGTGCACCCCAGCCCCTTGCCACCCTCCAAACTCTGCCTCCAAGCTGCTAAAACCCCATAGCTGTTGCCATGGAGACCAAACTCTGGTGTCTGAGGTAACAGAACACCTTACCCCCTAGGCTTTCCCAGGTCAGCAGAGCCCCTGCGCCACCAAACTATCACCATAGAGACTGTCAGCATCGTCCCCATGACAAGCAAATCCCAGCTCTCAGGAACTTCTTACCATGGGCCAGAACTGCACCCCTTCGGGCTTCATGTCTGCCCCTTAACCAGATAGGCCCAGCCCCGGGCAGCATGCCCAGATATGGCTGGACTTCTGGAGCTGTTGGACACCCTTCGTTTGCACGCTAACTATATCCCAGACAACAGTGCACGAGACACCCTTGCAACCCCCCAGGTGTTTGCATTGCTGCCGTACAGATGAGCAAACTGACTCCGGCAACCCTGGCCCTCTATGCCATGCAAGCACTGGGCTCCGCCCTTCCCTTCTAGACCACATCTCCATTACCACGGAGCTCCTCTCTCCTCTAACTGCCCCCTGCCCCACATTTCACTCCTTAGAGATCCAGGAGAGATGGAATGTTTTTAAGCTTCAAAATCCACAGTGAGCTCCAGGTTCTAAAGTGCAATTTGTGCTAAGAAGTCAGGACCCAGGGCGCCTGGGTGGCTCGGTTGGTTAAGCGACTGCCTTCGGCTCAGGTCGTGATCCTGGAGTCCCAGGACCGAGTCCCGCATCGGGCTCCCTGCTTGGCAGGGAGTCTGCTTCTCCCTCTGACCTTCCCCCCTCTCATGTGCTCTCTCTCTCTCATTCTTTCTCTCAAATAAATAAATAAAATCTTTAAAAAAAAAAAGAAGTCAGGACCCAGCCAGACGCCCCCCACCCTCAGTGTTGAGAGCCAGTTCAGGAGAGATGGTCCATGAACAAAGCCACTCTAGCTATGGGAGACCTCAGCTCCAAGGTCTTCCATGGAGTAGGACAGTGCACCCTCCTGGACACCCCCCCCATTGTCACATCCATCTTGAGGAAACCCATCTGTGAGTTTTGGAATCAGGTGGGCTCAGGTTCGAATTCTGCCTCTGCGACCAAGTGACAAACCCCCTGAGCCTGTTTCCTCCTCTGTACCAGAGCTGTTCTGAGGTCCCAGTGAGTGCAAAGCATACAGCAGGGGCTCAATAAAAAATGTGTGGGTTTTTTTTTTTTTTTTTTGGATGAATGAGAAAATGAGACAGCCAGTGGATAATTGCTTCATAAATGCACTTTGGTGGACAAAATGTTTCCCAGCGGCAGGGGGTGGGGTATGGTGATGATTTGGTTGGGAAGCATCCCCCCTCATTCCTCAGGACCATCCTCACTTCCCAATTTCTCCCCCTCTGCCTTCCCCCATTCTGCCTTCACTCTCTTGCATTATCCCCCATGTGTCTGGCCCTTTTCAGCCCTTTTCAGCATGGGTCGTTGGCACATGCAGTGATTCCTCTCAATCCCCCAGGCACAAAGTGTGGAAAACTGGATGGAAAATTCTTGCACCAGGAAGGCAGATTGCAATTTTCCCTGGTGAGGAGGTGGAGTTGGGGTGGGGGGGATAGTGGACGGAGAAACATTGAAAGTTTCTGGGATACAAGCAAAGGGAGAAGAGAAAAACATGTATAAGTGATTAGGCTGTAGATGTGAAATAGTCGATGTTACCACTCATCCTTCAATACCAGATGTGACAGAGCTCCTAGAGACTCAAACCACTCGTCTGAAGGCAGGGCCCAGCCCCTTGGTTAGACTGCCTTGGGCCCCAGCTGGGCCTTCACTTCCTTGGATAGGGGCATATATCCAGGGAACCTGATTGGTTTAGGGAGGGATAGGGAGGCGGGTGGACCGTGTGACTGAGTCCCTGGGATTTTGGAGAACCAATTGGGCCAAGGGAACCTTCCTTCTGCTGGAGCCGCTTCGTTGTTGGAGTGGAGGTCTCCAGGGCCCACCTGAAGGAGAGCTAAGGGATGGCAACCTGGATAGAGCCCTTCCTGACGCCAGATATTCCGAAAAATCGCTCCTTCCCATCCTACACCACCCAGTTCACTGTCCGGAAACATCCAAAGTTTCTTACAAGCCCTTCCAGAGATGTTTTATGTTCATTCAAGCAAGCATGCATATGTATTTCCCCCCATTTTTACACAAATCGCATTTACACAACTCACACTGTTGTAGCATATCTATCTAGTTCCAAGACATTTTTATCATCCCCAAAGGAAACACCATACCCATTAAACAAACGCACCCCATTCTTCCCTTCCCCCTCCCCTCTGCCCTGGCAATGCTCATCTACTTTCTGTCTCTATAGATTTGCCTATTCTTGATGTTTCATATAAATAGAATAATATGGGGGCACCTGGGTGGCTGAGTCGTTTGGGTTTTTTGTTTTTGTTTTGTTTTGTTTTTGACTCTTGATTCCCCACTCTGGTTGTGTTTTCAGGTGGTGGTATGGAACCCTGCATTGGCTCCAAGCTGGGCGTGGAGCCTGCTTGAGATTCTCTCTCTCCCTCTCCCTCTGCCCCTCCCGCTCACTCTCACGCTCAATAAATAAATAAATAAATAAATAAATAAATAAATAAATGGAATCTTATAATATGTGTCATTTGTGTCTGTCTGGCTTCTTTCACTCAGCATAATGTTTTTGAGGTTCATGCATGTTGTGACATGTATCAAGACTTTATTCCTTTTTATGGCTGCATAATATTCTGTGGTATGTATATACCACATTTTGTTTATTCATTCATCAGTTAATGGACATTTGGGTTTTTCCACCTTTTGGTGATTGTGAATACTGCTGTTATGAACATTCATGTGCCATGTTTACTTTTAAAGTCACTCTTCTTTTACTTAATACTGTATTTTTGAGGGGCGCCTGGGTGGCTCAGTTGGTTAAGCGACTGCCTTCGGCTCAGGTCATGATCCTGGAGTCCTGGGATCGAGTCCCACATCAGGCTTCCTGCTCAGCAGGGAGTCTGCTTCTCCCTCTGACCCTCTTCCCTCTCGTGCTTTCTATCTCTCATTCTCTCTCTCTCTCAAATAAATAAATAAAATCTTTAAAAAAAAATACTGTGTTTTTGAGATAGTTTCAATCACCATATAAAGATCCCCACCCCCACATTCTTTTGAAGTTTGGCAGAGTATTCATTGTTTGGATGCACCATAGTTTTTGTAGCCCATCTCCTTTTTTTAAATTTTTTTTATTTTTTTATTTAAAGATTTTATTTATTTATTTATTTGAGAGAGAGAATGAGAGAGAGAGAGCATGAGAGGGGGGAGGGTCAGAGGGAGAAGCAGACTCCCTGCTGAGCAGGGAGCCCGATGCGGGACTCGATCCCGGCACTCCGGGATCATGACCTGAGCCGAAGGCAGTCGCTTAACCAACTGAGCCACCCAGGCGCCCTGTAGCCCATCTCCTAATGGCAGATGTTTACATACCCCTATTTTGCTGTTAATAATAAGTGCTCACATCACCTCACACAAGTGCAAGTATGATATCAAGAGTTGTTTAATCAAGGAGTCAAACTGGCCATTTTGATAGTGATCTCTACCTCTTCTTAGAGGTGGGGCCAATTTATACCCCACCAGTAATAGATGTACCTGTCTCTTTCCAGACATCCTAATCAGCATCGTGTGTTATCACTTTTTATTTTAGCCAACCTGATAGGTTAAAAAAAAAAAAAGGTATCTCATTGTGGTTGTCACTCGCAGTTCTCTTATTATGTGTGAGGCTGAACAAACATCCCCCACTTTGACCTTAGGTGCAGGTGGGTGAGGAAGTCATAAATCATTCGCGGTTTGGGTATGTTGTCAT